TTGTTCGTTAGTTTTTATTTATGAAGGGAAGCCTTGTCGAACTCCTTCCGTGGTGTGTCCGATTGTTGGGCGATCATATCGTGGGCACACTTAATTATTCCCACTAATGCAGCTTATAGCTTTCTTCTGTTTGCTAGATGTGCTCCTTATCAAAGCTGCTTCTTAGCAGCAATATTATGCAGTGGCATCCGAAACTAAAAGGTTACTATAAAGCCTGCTGGTCAAGCAGGCTGAAGGTTTGTTTATCCTTTTAAGTGATTTAATATAGTAAGTGACACGTATTGTGAGGATCTAATGCAAAGCTTACAGCTTTTAAGTGTGCATCTTTCCCATGGATCTTCGGTGCCCTAATAAATTATGAAAATCACTAGCGAAAATATTTTTCTTGTATCTTCTTGAGAGTACATTATGTCTTCACGTTTTATATTAAAGGAAACTATCTTTTATGATGTTAAAAACAAAGTATGGTATGAAAATGTTTAGACCAAAAAATATCCAGTCATAACAGTCGTAACCGCCCCTTTACAAATATTTTTTTGTGAAATATTCAGCGTTGACCACGAACCCCGGCGAATTCGTTGGACCCTGTATGATATATTTTTTCATTCCATGGAGAAATGCATGATTTTGCTGTGGACGAGCGTTTTCAGCTTGCACTTTGGAAATACTAAATGTAGATCGTGTTCAACCTTATTCGAGCACCAAAAAACTTCGAGAATACGTGATTAGATGCTATAATAATACCATAAAATATTTTGTTTTCTTTGAAAATAGTTTTAAACTTATAAGAATTTTAGAACTCAGCGGAATAAACATACAACTCAAGTTTTCCTTTTGGAACGGTATAGTTTTGTGGTTATCCACAAATAAGCGCGCTCAACAGCTGGTATTTTGATGTGACTGAAATATCTTTGGATGGTGCTTTATTGGAATCAGCAGTACACCATTAACAAAGTCATTCTTTGATATCGAAAACACTTTACAAGTCCAGCAATCCCTTCAAAAATTGCACCTCCTTCTATCTGAAATTAGTTTAATTCTGATCTTCTGACTTTTAAATAGATGATTTTTCCGCTACCAAAATTAATCACCATTTACATGATACTGATTCCTAGTTAATATTAACTGTTATGCATGCTGGACGTCGATTAGAACGTTTTTACGAGGCTACTTCATGTACCTGTCCAGCAGGTTTTGCAGCTATGATTTCAGAACTATGTTCTGTACAACCTAAGCCCCATTTATTTTTCTAATTATTGTTTTTGCTTGCCTCTCTAACTTAAAGATATCAGTGAACTTTATCTTATCAC